CACGTCATGTCGTATTTGCATAAAGTCCATGAATACTTGTGAAAGGGTTTTACTTTCAACTATTGTATATATATATATATATATATACAGTTTTTCTAAGGATATCAAATTGGGACAAAAACGTTATAAAAAGCTTATTAATATTTTATTATCTTGTAATTATGAATATTAGCGTCTAAAGATGGAGAGTTTCATATCAATTATTCTTGTAGTTTAGTTTTGTCTAAACTCCAAAATGCATACAGCCATCCGATATCAAGCAATAGATAATTTTAATATGTCTTGTTCAATTTAAAAATCTATATTTATAAAACGTACAATTGGAATAAGGGAACAGAAGCCCACATGCGGAATATAGTTTAATTGTGGCAACTTTGCTGTTTAATATTAAGAAGCTATAGTGAACAGTGTTCAGTTGTTCACCAGCATCTAAACGCGTATGAATTAAACAGGCGTGATTTGTAAGTCTTCCTTACATAATGAGAGAAGCGGGGTTAGTTAACTATATGTAAGGGACGCTGGACGACACGTGTGTCGACACGTGAGTTTCAAACGCGTCGGACTGTGACACTTGAACCCTCCTAGTTACACCCTAGGCCTCCCTTTCAGCCCCCTTCTTTTTAGACACGAGACTGGCTTCGGATATCGTTATGGCATGCTGCGATAAGAGATGGGGGTTTGATAATTTTTTTCAACACTATCTTTGTTTTCGATGCGTTATAGTTATTCAAATTTTTGTCAGTCTTCATCGAAAGAGTAAAATATTTGGTTATGTACTCTCTCAGGGTTGCCACAAAACTTTATTTTTGTTTTTCCTTGACTTTTCCATGACTTCCAATAAACATTTTCACTTTTTCCCCCTGACCCTGAAGAACATCAATGACTTCTTTTTTTAAATAAATATTTAATCGTTATTATTTTTTCATAAGAATTAGGATTATCAAAAATTTCAAATTCAATAACATATTTAAGAGAATCATTATAAAACATAAAGATATCGATCACTCCGAGTCGAAGACTCGGAGTAATCGCTATCCTTATGTTTTATAATAATTAACTTTAACTTCTTCAAAAATCATTTTCATCATTTTGATTATTCATTTCTAGAATTTTCAACTAAAATACTTCGTTAAGTCAATTTTTAAAAAAGTTCTTTGAGAATTTTCAAATCCTTTTGTTTACAATTTAATTTTACGAAATTTCATCGATTTTTCGGAAATTCTTCAATCAAATATATATTAGAAATTAAAAACTTCAAATAATTAAAAAAAATTATATTAAAATTTTTAGAAACGAAATAATTCTACAAAATTCTTAATTAAAAGTATGAAAAGTTTAAATTTTCAAAGATTTAAATTTGAAATCTTAAGACTTTTGAAAATTCAATTATTTCTAAAAATCCACGGTATAAAGATTTCAATATATTCAATTTTAATATAAAATTTGAACTGAAATTCATTTTAAAATCAGTATTTATTAGAAAATTTTCTATACAAAAATTCAACTGCTTAAATACAAAAATAAATATTTTATTAAATAATTAAATGTTTCTTAAAATTGAATTTTCATAAAATTTTATCAACAAATTTTTAAATAATTAAATTTTTTTGACAAATTTTAATAAAAATTTTAAGAATAATTTCATTTTTTGAGAAATTTGATAAAATTGTATTAAAAATAATTTAAATTCTGCCAAGAATTTTATTAAAATTTTTGAAAATAATTGAATTTCGAAGAGAATTTTTATTATTTATAAAGATAATTGAAATTTTGACGAGAATTTTTGTAAATTTTTGAACATACTGGAATTCCTGCGAAGCATTATATTATTTTTGAAAATAATTGAATTCTTGAAACGAATTTTATTTAAAAAAATTTTAAAGAATATTGAATTCCTGTGAAGAAATTTATTTATGAAAATAATTGAATTCTGGACAAAAATATTATTATTTATGCGAAAATAATTAATTTCTTGTGAAGAATTTTATTCTAATTTTTTTAAATAATTGAATTTTTCAGAATTTTTTCAAACTGTTTGAAAATAATTAAATTTTATCAAGAAATTTCAATAAAAAATTGAAAATAATTGAAATCTGACAAAGAATTAAAAAAAATTTTTTTTTTTAAATAATTGAATTCCTGTAAAAATGTTTATTTTGGAAAAGAATTGAATTTTTGGGAAGAATTTTATTAAAATTTTTTTTAAATTTATATAGCATTTTATTAAAATTTTTTTAAATAATTGAATTTCCATAAAAAAATGTATTATTTGTGAAAATAATTGAATTCTTATAAGAAGAATTGTATTGAAAATAATTGAATTTTATAGGGAAATTTTATTAAAATTGCAATTTTACCAACAAAATCTTGTAAAGAATTATGTTAACATTTTTTTAAATAATAGAATTTTTAAAAGAATTTTATTTAAATTTTTCGAAATAATTGAATTTTTCATAACTATTTCTTTCAATTTTGTTTTATTAATAGAATTCTGTTGGCAAATTTTATTAAAATATAATATATACTAAAAATAATTGAAAATTTTTGAAAATAATTTAAATTTTGCCACGAATTTTATTATTTATAAAGATAATATAAACAAAAATATAAGATGTTGGAAAATCTTCCAAATTTATTTCTCTTTCAAATTGTAGGCTTTAGAAGTATGAAAGTAGGGTACATATAAGGTGCACAACTATCAATAAATTTAGGTTCCCCTTTCTAGTATAAAATCCACAAATTTCCAACACATTTTGGAGTCAAAGTATAGGGGTCCAAATGTATTACAGTAACAACCTACTTTACGACTGATAAAGCCTACGATTCAGGTTCAAAGTAGGGCTTAAATTTCGAATCGGGTAGAGTTAAATGAAATAGAATTTGCAATAAAATGCATAGGTAATGATTAAAGAAAACAAGTTTGAAAACAAGTTTCTTTGTTTCATCATTAAATGTACACTTTATAAAAATTTCTTTCATAATTGTGTAATATTACAGTAACCTTACCGCGTAATATTATTGCAATATTACTGTATGTTTATATTTTAATACCGAAAATGTTATTTATTTGAAAGAAACAAATATTTGTTTTGCTCTGAGACGCAATAAATAAACCGCATTTGATGTTCCAGTTTTTTATTTTACAAAATTTTCTGCTTGGCTTTTTTCATCGGGTCGATTTAAGTGAGTAGGATCGAAAGGATTTTATCCTGTTTTTGGAGGGGATTTTTCTTTCTGGGCTCAATGCAAACGAGCCCTCGGGACGATTTGTCTCTGCAGAATTCTCAAGGGACTACAAGGAGCATTCTATGTTCAGAGGCGGGTGCGCATCTGTCGCACTCTGTAGTAGAACTCGAATTTTATATTTGTGAACAAAACTTCTTATCTTGTCGCTATAAGCACTCTGGCTTTTATATTATTATTACTATTATTATTATTCATAATGAATTTAATTATTAGAAACTGAACGAAATATGCACTGTAAAAAAAGGTTCTAAATTAGAGCTGATTTTGGCATTAAAATCGAACCACATTACGATTTAGTACCAAAATTGGTGTTAAATTAGTACCTTATTTTTTACAGTGTATATAATAGTCTATTTTATTCATACGCATTTATAACATTTTATGCAACATTATCAAATAATTTTGTTCTGATTTTGCATACGGGTTTTCTTCAATTTATTGTCGAAAGTACACTAAAAATAATTTTTTAAAGAAAAAGCTTTGAGAATTGAGAATAAGTATGTGCAAACATTGACAAGATATGAGAATCGATCACGCATGTAACATGTAGAAAATCTCATTGAGACATGGAAGGATGCAAGCAAGCCAAGTCCGTCGGGAATACATGGGGATGTATCAAGCCTTGATCCCAGTCTATGCCTCGCAGCCGTTCGTAAACTGCACCCTCTGGCAAAAACACATTAAAATCGAATTGACCAGATGTCCAGAAACCGAATCCCAGGACTATAACAACACCCGTCTGTCTAATGATGTTAGACCACGTTGAACGCCGTCACAGTAGCACTCGATTCGCGATTACACTCATTCTTCAATACTAGCTATCAATCAAATTCTTTTTTCCCTTTTTTCCTCAATATTTTTATGTTTCTTCATTTTTTAAATAAATCATTCATCTAAATGATTCAATAATTAATTATTAAATCAATATAGAACAATAACTAAAGTTTATCAAAATCACAAATCTAAAGAAAATACTATGTTTACTGTGTACTTTCTTCTTCAACTAAAATTATAGATACTTTTGCAACACTAAAATTTAAAATTAAATTGTATACTCAAAAAAATTTATAAATTTACATCCAAAGAAAAAGGATTATTTGACGTCCAGTCAAATATAAATTTATTTATGTTACAAACAGGCTGTCGGACACTTAACGATACGATCTTATATTATGCTTTTTTCTTGAAATAACAAATAGTTGCTGTTTTTAAGCACATTATCAATTAAAGGAGTTGAGTATTTACTTGAGTATTTAATAAAATGGAAACATTTTTATAAAAAATCAGAAAAGATTCAGTAGGACATCAGTCAGATATTTTGGATTTGTAAACTAAAAAAAATGATTTTAATTGCTTCCTAATTGAAAATTAAATTAAGATTTACTAGAAGTTAATGATATATGATATTTAAATCCTATAAGTTTTAATATTTATGATTAATCAGCAAAATTTTGTACTATACTCATTGCGCTAATATGGTACAGCATCTGTAGTCGGACACCACGATTTTTAAAATAAAGAATAAATTATCCCTTGTTTAATTTTATTGTAAAATAACACTATTTGCATAAAATATAAATTTCTCAATTGCCAAAAAACACGAAAGTGTCCGACTATACCTGCATTGTTCTATATAGACATTTGTTTAATAAAAATATATATTTGGTTTAAATAAAACATTTTTATAGGTACATACAGAAATTTACATTAATCTAATATTAATTTTATATTACATTAATGTTCAATAAAAAAATATGTGAATGAGGAGTAGGAAAAAGAGATTAATTTCTGCAACTTCGCTTATAATTTTTATAGTTGCCTAATATACATGTTTTTTATTCCAAATTTTTTGAGTTTTCAACTTTAAAAATGAATGTTGCAAACTATACACAAATATAACAAAAAATCGTCTTCAACAGAAAAAACAATGCGTTGAAAAATGTGTTGTGTTTCTGGTATGTATTGACAACTGTCGGAGAAGAAAGAATTCTTCATCTGTTGAGAAGACGTCTTGAAAATTGACTAGTTTTGACAGTTTGAACTCTGCAAAAGTTAAACAAAAGAAAGTTCCTTCCCTTCCAACACACAACACATTATTTTTTCAGTCTCAAATTATTTAAAAAAATGTATGGTATGAAATAATTTATCTTACACTTTGAATTATACGGAAATACGTGGTTTATTATAATTATATTTATATTCAATGTGCTTCGTGGCCAAGTGTTTAGTGTGTTGTGTACATTCATCAGCAATATATGTATATATACTTTTCTCTTTTTCATTGTTTTTTATATTCTATTTCATCAATTTGAGACTTTACGTTTGTCAAATATATTTACATTAATAGTCTTCCTTTATTGAATTGTCGTTAGAATTCTATTGATTTTATTCATATTTTACCAATAAAATTAATTTTCTTTACGTTTATCTGTGTAATGTGTGTGTGTGTGTGTTAATAAATTTGATGTTTTATAGCGTGTAACATTTTTTATCTACAAGGACGTTTCAAACTAAATAACAAGGATTGTACAATGTTACATGATAAATTTTTGAATATTTATACACAATAATAATAATAATGACAATAATAATAATAATAATATTAATAATAATAATAATAATAATAATAATATTAATAATAATAATAATCAATAATAATAATCAATAATAATAATAATAATAATAATAATAATAATAATAATAATTATCATTATCATCATCACCAATCAATATCACACGTCCCTTTGAGTGGCGTCAAAATATTAATATAATATTTTATGTAAAATTAATGTTGATAATGATAATAATACAAAATTAATTGATTGAAATAATAGTTACATTAATGAAACTCAATGTATTCATAATAATATATTATGGTACCTAATAGTAATGGTTTAACTATTTTACAATAAACACAAATAAAGACATTGATCCGCGATTTTTTTTTTGTAAAAATATTATTATTAAACAATTTTTAACAAAAGGAGAAGAAGTTGAGTTCGTCATCGTAACAATGTTTACGCGAAAATATTTAAACGAGATGGTACACTTTAACGAAAAATATACGTCCTACCAGACAAGGCCTTCGCTTTGCATCTGGTGCGGCTCGGGAAACCCGCTCCCAGCCCCCCCTCCACCTGGGCCGCCACCATTTCCACCCCCACTGGGATTTCCTTGTCCGCCACCTACAATAGAAAGAAAGTCTCTTATTGTCAATAAGTTTTAAAAAATTTCTTTTTTTTCAAAATTATTTTAGATTGAGCGCACCAATGCAACAACTCGTTCGACGCACGAAAAGCTTTCGAGCGTCGAACGAGTTATTGCATTGGAGCGCTCAATTATATTAAAATACTAAACATTATTCACAAATGGGACAAAAGTTTCCATAAACATTTTATAGGAAAATTCATAAACAATTCCAAGAATGTTGTGGGAAGGAAGAAAAATAAGAAAATGACAAAAATTTTCTGCTACTTAAGCGCAATGCAGTACTTCAATTTAAGTTACGTTATATAAAGCATTTTGTATTTAAACATCGTTCAAGTTATTTTTTATATCTTCAAAATAAAGTCGTGTATCAATTTAATAAACCATCTGCTACTTAATGTTGATGATTCATTATTCAACCATGTGGGATTAGGAAAGTTTTACCACACTCTTTTATCATTTAAAGATTCTTGACTCAGAATCTTATATTGTAATCATTTTATTAGAAACTCAAAATAGAAAAATTTGCCAGGTAATTTAAATTGAATAATTGAACTGCCGGATCGTGGAAGCACATAACCCAATTTGAATTACATTTACGATCCGGGGGTTAAATTCTATTTGAACAAATTAATTCAATAAAAGCACATAATCCTTTTATGTGCATTAATATTTATGTACATTTTAAAAAAGATAGAATCATTATGGTTGACATTACTATAATGGATGTAATTAAATCGTTAAAAAATATAGAGTTCACTAAGAGATTTGCTTGAGTGCAACCCGAGCGCAAACAAACGTCAAGAAGTCGATTCTCCGCGGTGAGAAACGGCAGAGGGTCACAATGGCAATCAAGTTCCCGTATAATAATCGGGTCCATATTTTTATGGACTGCCCCTCATCGCCTCGTGCGGTAGACTTTTTGCCCCTGTCATCCTATATTCTTGCAAGTTTTATTTTTTCATTTTTTTACCTGAAGGTGCTAGAAACTCGCCAGGGCTGCCGCCCGGGGGTGCTTGGGGCCCTTGACCTGGAGGCCCCGTGAGAAATTCTGGTGGCCCGCCTCCTGCACCAGTTGGTGGATACTCCCCTGCCACTGCAGCAGCGGCTGCCATGCCTGCTATACTCGCAGGATCTAAACCTGTCAAAAATAGATTTGCAACTTTTCAAAGAACGTCGAATATCGGTCCATCTCCGTACTGGTGCGTTTTACTTTTTTTGAGTGTTTCTGAATGTTGTTTCCATGTGCGTAACTTTAGATAAGTGTCAGTAGCGTGTAGTTTGTAACTTACTTGGATTGCCAGGGCCAGTGAACGGTGGACCATGAGGGTGGGGTGGAGGGTGACCGCCGAAGAAGTCGGGGTGAAACGTAACAGGACCACCGTAGCCGAACTCGAATTTCTCTGCCGCGAAGTAAGGGAATCCCGGGGGTGGCCCGTCGTCACCACCAAGGGCCCCATGATTTAAATTTAATGGAAATCCCCTCATTTTCCTGGTGCCACCGAAGAATGGACTCCTGCCCATTGACGTCAATTGTTTCAGTCTACGCTCTTTACTCCTCTTATTTTGAAACCAAACCTATTGGATAGAGGCACAAATAAGCTATATAGTTATTTTTCTAATTTTGCAGCTAAAACATTTGTCCTATTTTTAACGAAAAAAGTGATGGAAAATTGGCGCGAAATGTACCTGTATCACCCTCATAGGAAGCCCAGTTTCTTTCGCAAGGCTTTCTCTAATATGTCTCGTAGGTTTCGGAGTTTGCGAGAATGCAGTCTTCAAAATCTCCAACTGCTTCGCCTTTATAGTCGTCCGTGGCCCTCGTCTTTTAGATCCCGCACCGCCGTCTCCACTACCGCCTCCAGCTCCTCCGTCAGGACTTTTGTTCTCTGTTTGACTATCTCTAGTTTCCGGATCACCGTCTAAGGAACCTTTAACACATTCCACAAAAATTTGTAAGTCTACTTGTTGGATGTACAGCACAGTAAAAAGAAGTGAGTCTTATTTTGAGACGCACATGTCAGAAAGTTTAAGGGACAGTTTCGCCAATTCCGATTAAAAGTTAATCAACGATTAAAGTCAGTTTAACCGCCCGTGATTGGTCGGTTAAGGTCAACCAATAACTTTTAATCGGAGTTGGTGAAACTGGCCCTTAATTTTTAAGGAGACATATTTCGCCACCTTAATCTGCAAACCTTGTAACTCCACTTCAGGTCAGAAATTACTTTTTAATGCGAAAAGTATCATCTTCAATAAATTCACATATTATTTAAAAACCATGTTTCAAACAGAATGAATAATGTCAAAAATCACAATTCAAAATATAGAAAACAAGGGTGCGTGTTGACAACTTTCTTCGTTTACAGTAAAGTTGCGTCAAATGGAGTACAAGGTTTGCAGATTAAGGTAACGATTTGCTAAAATGGACTGGATGATGATTTTCAAACTTATCTTAAAATAAAGACTTTCTTTTACTGTGTACAACAAACTGCTTTAATATATACATATAAAATATTAGTGTCGAGCATTGAAGAATAAATGAATGTCAGATCGATTTTTCTCTCGAATAAATGAAAATAAATGTTTTTATTTCTTTACGTGAAAAAAGATCAAGTTTTGCAATGTCACTTTCGTCACTTTCGTCACTTTCGTCACTTTCGTCACCTCACCATCAAAAAAGGAGACGATGACTTTTTCAGAGGACAAACAAACGTCAGCAGGTAGACGAGGACGAGGTTTTCTTATATCTTTATCAAACTAACAACGCAGCACCCTCAGAAACATCGAAACCCCATCGGATTATTGTAGCTCTTCGTTGAAATGTATAGGGTGAACGATAATCTATACTAGGGAGAACTTAACCACGGGACAAAGAAAATGTTTGGACAGTGTCGCACCGCAAAGACTCCCTAGCCTGGTGGAAGTAGTACTAGTTATGTGAGTACCTACCAATTCATTGTTATGCCGATAAAAGAGCAGGGAGTGAATATAATATGAAGCATGTATAAGAGGCATGTACCTACATATTTTATAATCCTTCAGTGGTATACGTGTCAGTGTTTACACAGTTTCTGTGTATTTTTCTTCAGCTTTATTTTTATTACTTTATTATTTAAAAAATTGATATATCAACTTAACAAATAATTATTAACTCTGTATCCGAGAAACTTTGATTATTTACAAGGCTCGAACTATGTGAAAGTATTTAAAAATACGGACTTTACGGACTAAAAATAAAAAATTACGGACCAATGACAAAACTATAACCAGTGCGAGTAAAATAAGAGAACATTTTACTTAAAATTATAAATTAAATTCTTCATAACTATAAAACATGAAGATATCGATCACTCACAAAATTCTTTTGCTTTTACAATCAAATTACGGACCTTTTTTTTAAAACTGACTTTTACGAATTTTAAACAAATTTACGGACTTTTACAAGATTTGCGGACCTAGTTCGAGGCCTGTATTTAGCTTTTTAATCGTGAAAATAAGATTAGGAAAGTAACAATCTTAAGCTTATTATATGTATATATTGTTTATAATAGAAACAGAAAAACAAACTAACATTACTTACCTTGATCTTCGGAATCCTCTTGTTTACAAGAATCACTTCCGAGAGGCAAATCGCCGGCGTGACCAACACCATGACTTCCTGGACCTCCAGATCCCAAATTATGTGATCCTAAATTAGTACCACCAACACTCCCATGATGATGATGATGACCAACACCACTGCCATCATCCTCCTCATCTTCTGAGCCTGAACCCATCAAAGAGTCTCCACCTATAAATTTAGGCAAGTTTTCAACATTTTAATTTTATGTTTTTGAGAAAAAAGTTGATCGCTCATTTTAAATTAGTACAATTTCACTAAGCATTGAATCAGTGTTTTCAAGATTTTCATCAACCAGAAAGCAAAAATCTCATAAAGATGTCAGTGTTCAACAAACGACCTTTACTATTCGTCTTGGAACCCGGTTTTTTTGTCATGAAAATTTAGAAAAAGAGGGGAGACTGATGTTTTTACAGCTTGCTATCCTTTTCTCTATTTCCTTGTTGTATACAATATATTTCCTTGACACTCAACAGTGCAGTTTATAATCACATACTTTTCAGAACAAGAATTTTTTGTTATATTCAAAACTTGTCCTCCGCAATATTTTTCTTTACTTTTTAATTCTACATTAGATTTTAAATAAAAAAAATGACATATACTTTTAGGAAAAGTATAGCAAATATTACATTCATTAAACATATTTTTTATTTATATACATAGAAAAAATATTTTAAATTTAAACGAAAATTGTGCTTGAGAATAGAAGATGGAATGACCTGGTCCGTAAAATTTCTCGCGTCGAACGCGTTGAACTGTGACCCTCTTCTTCTTCTCCCTCTTCGACCCCTGATCTTCTCGAGATGCCCGCCCCTTACTTGAAAATAAAAAAGAAAGAAATAGGATCTTGGGACTTGAAAAAGTCGACTTTTCTCACATTCCGTCGGGCAAGAGAAATTTACGGACACTTGTACACCCCTTCCAGAAAATGTAAAATGAGAAGTTAATCGAAGCCAATTTCGAGTTGAGAGTTTCGTTTTTAACTTTTGCTTGCTTGTTTTATGACAAAAATGACATTTGGTAAATATAAACATATCTATACTAATCTGTTTTCCAAGGCAATAAATCAAGAAAATAATAAATTCTAACTAGAATAATAATAACCACGATCTTTTGAAAAATCTACAGTTCAAACTAGACCAAAACCTTCAACCTCTTCCCCCAGCACATTTATTTTTAAAATAAAATTTCCTAATATTTTGTGGTCAAAGTAATCACTAATTGTATTAAAGTTATTGTGCTTTTACTTTTGAAATTGGTACACTTGAGAAAATGTGCACCATATTTCGACCTATAGATTTTGAGAAATTCTTTTCCTTTCATTTTTAATTTTTAGAAAAATGTATTATTTTTGAAAATTACCATGGTGCCCGTGGACATGATGTGCAACCGGTAAGGGTTTTCCTGATAAATAATCTTCTTTACAGACAAATTTATTGTCGTCCAAGACGTAAAGTTCTTCACCAGTGCTCATTTGTTTTCGGCAAACTAAACAGGTGAAACAATTCAGGTGGAAAACCTTATCTCTCGCCTTTCTTACAAGGTCCGACGGATTGATTCCTTCTAGACAGCCGCCACATTTTGTGCCGTAACGTCTGCAAAGATACAAAAAAAAATATTAAATTAACCATCCAAGTTTAATATTAAAACATTTGAAAATCTACGAGTCACGTTTCACATTAAAAAGTTGAATAATCCGAAAAGTGTGCATTTCACAGTCATCATTCGTTTTTTCAAGTTGTATATATAGATATTGAGTTTCACGCTTTATGTGTGTATAAAATTTTCAGCTTCAATAAATCGAAACAGATGTATGATGTAACGCGATGTAACTCAAATTTATCCGAAATAAGTCAACAGGTGTGATTTTCGTATATTCTTCGCCTGAGACCGTTAGAGAGCAAAAGAAAATTAAAGGTCATGCCCTGAAAAGTATGTTATTTCAAACAAATATTATAATATCAAAAAAATTCTAATTTTAGAATCTAGTTCGCATTCTCCAAATATAAAATTCTCGACGATGCGGTAAAAAATTTTAATAATTACCAAGAACTATTAATCTTTGAATTGCTTCTTTATAATCTCTAAAAAACTTGAATGATTCCGATCATGAATATTAATGACACTTAATCTTTCGTAAAGCAACCAAAAGAATTTTCGAACGCATGTCAACGCTTCTGATCATGAATGAAAGTGCGGTAACATTTTTACAAATACTATGCAAAAAAAAATAACAGAAAGCATGATTTTTCTCGAAAATTAAAAAAAATTTCCTAAAGTCGCGAATAATTATAAGACACTGATGACTATTTTCCTCAGCTTAATTATAATTAGGTTTATTTATCATCGCGATTTTTTATCAAAGTAAATTATTGATCTAATTGTTCATTTGAACAATAGTTGGAGAAAGCAAACAAAAAATAATAAATATATACAAATAGTTACAAGAACCGCGAGCAAATATATATATATAATAGTGTGACCGACACAATTTGCTTTGTCATGGTCTTATTTTGTACCGTCTTTTGAAAACCACAAACTTCTGACTCAAAATTTTCAACCTAAAATATGATATGCACGGAAAAAATGACAAATGATTTGTAAAACTATTTCAGATTTATGTACACCACAGCCATAATGTTAATAGACACATTTACTATATTCCTCAATTATATATTTTGAAAATTAAGTACAGTGTCTGATATATTACAACTTTTTTTTTTTTTTTAATCTTCTGTTTTTACAATTGTTTTATGCAATGCATAATTTCACTCCAAATAATCATTTGTAGTCTTTAAACTAACGCAGAAAAACTGAACCTTATAGTATAGTTTTTTGCTATCCATTATGTCTATATTGATAATATTTGAATAATAAAAAAAATTTGTCTTAATGTGTGAAATGCTTCAAATAAAATAAATCTGTTGCAATTTACGCTTATGCCACATTTCATGATACAAACAATCAGTTGGGTCATTTTTTCCGTACGCGGTATGGATCACATCCTATATCACGCAAATTTATACCAATAAAGAAGATAAGAAATTCATAAATTTTTATCACTTTTGTAAATGAATATCTAAATTAATTGTGTAGTTAATTGATAGTTAATGTCTCTTATATTGACTTATATATTTCTGCGGACAAGTTTGCTTCTGATTTGATTATAATATTCTTCTTTTTGTTTATAATGTGTCATAATAGTAAACTATATGACACATAGTACTACTATGACACATTATAAATGAAAGGAAAAATATTATAATTTTATATTTCAAAAATCCTTATTTGAACAGGAAAGAAATTTAAGGCATTTAGCAAAACCTGTACGAAGTATTCCATTCAAAGAATTCCGTTTGTTCCAGATGTTTGGCTCTTGACATAAAAGAGATTCCTTTTGCTTGAATGGATTCTTTAAATAGAATTTTTGTGAACCTGTTATTAGAGCAGACCTGTTATTAGTCCTTTTACCTACAACGGATTGTTTTCTCACCCTCTAATTACAACCAAATTACACAAAGCACATGCTTGTTCGAAGTGTATCACCTTTTTATATAAATATACACATCACATCAACAAACTATCAGTGTCATTCATACAGTCAAATTTTATGCGCCATTACCATTTTTTCCGTACAAAATTCATATTTTATATTAGGATAAAATCGAATTGCAGACGGTTTTTAATTGCAGCTGTTAAATCGATCTCGAAAGTAGCAAACTTATTAGTTGTTCCCAATTTAACCAACAAAGTTTGCTGTGGCACAGCTAATAACCTTTAATTCTCTTTTAGTTCAACTTGAAAATTTGCGATACGCAAGAAATTTCCAGAATAAAAAATCAAAATTACCAACGATCTACGTTATTCACGATCGATCTTGGAGAAGTAGAAAGCAGCTTACATAATTTTGCATCCTTATCTAGTGGAGGAGTTGACGTCATTGACTTAGCCTCAAAAATCTACAGACTTTGTTTTTAGTTTACGTGCATAGTTCTTATCCTTTTTTTCAAATAATTTGATCTGCTTTCAACAAGTGAAAACTCAAGTATATCAGGTCATTGCTCTGAGATTAGAATCAAATTTAGAGTACATCTTCTTTCCAAGGTACATGACGCAAGAACCGCCTGTATATAGAAGTGGTTGGCAAAAACATCCTCTTTATGAATCTCACTGATGGCTGAACCTTCTGAGAAGGGAACCTGCGCCGTCTTCTGCCGACTGCTCAGTCGTCACGCCCAACCAACTCTCGAAGAACGGTCATGCCACATTTATAATATTTCCACGTTCGAGTTTCGACGTCTCGAGGAACCAAGTAAAGTTCGCTCGAAGAAGGGCCTAGACGTCGTACACACACATTCTCTCAGTTGCATGTGGTTGTAGACCCTTCCTGGGTCCAAAATATCCAAAACGACTTCGGTTCTCGCGACAGTAAAAATTTTTTTATAGTTTACATGAAAATTATTTTTTACATTTCAAAAAATAAATTAAAGGATTCGCTTAAGAACATGTTATTCAGTGGTCACGTGACCACATGTTCTTAAGCGAATCCTTTAAATCTGTGTTTATTGTTTGAAATGTATCAATGCTTTTCTGTAAAGTATAAAAAATTTTTTTTCCATAAACTTTAGAGTGGAAAATACTCCACTGAAGGTTCGCTTGATGAATGAATCACAACTTCTTTGGGAAACTTGTCTTGTGATGCTGCAGCCTAAACCACCCTGAATTATAATTAAATGCATTTTCTTTCCATGTGTGTTAATGTTAATTTTATCAGTTCATCTAATTTTTGGCGCAGTTTCGTCACTTTCAAAGAGGCGGAATAACATATTTATAGCTTAAAATGTTTCTTATACGCGATACAAACTAAACATTTGCGTGTGGCGGGAATTTCGAAATGCGGTTTTAAACACGCCCAGTGCTGAAATATATTTGAATTTGAGTTTCATTTTGACAGTTCAAGGCTCTTATCCTGAATTATAAAATTTTTGTAAAGAGTAGGGCTCTCTCAAATAATACATTAAACTTATTGTTAGGTATATTAAAAGTATAAAGATTGTTCTTAAATTTTATTACATATTTATACATTATTACTTCTATGACTTTGATTTTACAGTCAGTAATTTTTGAAAATATTTTCTTATTTAAAAAGCATGAAAATAAAAATATAAATGTTTTATTTAACTTGTTCTCTCCACCGAAAGTGGAGTGGATAAAACTAAACTCTCAAGGCTGTAATAACGCAAACTATTTATTTTCTTTATCTTCTATCGTCCCCTAAATGTCGGCAATCGATTTTTTGGGTTCGGTCCCGTAATCGGCCATTTCCTCCCTGAAGCCCTAATAATAATTTTCAAGTTCGAGTTTCGACCTCCAAGTCCCACCGCGATGACTGCGGTGAATAGGGGCATCGTTCGTTGTAGTCCCGGCCTCGGAGATGGACCATTATCGGCCTTCAAGGGCCTTCCCGCGAGTCACGGGGCCGGTTACCATAATCGCTTATACCGTTTCTTTGACTGGATACTTGGAGGGTTCCGGTTCGTCGTCGTATAATAGTCTAGTAGACGGCGATAAACTGTGTAATATCAAAGTCGAACGAGTCCGAGCAGGCAATGAGCCGCCAACTTCTTAAAAAAATAATATAATAATAACGAAAGAAAAAGACCGCAAAGGAGCCAAAAAAAAGCAAAAGAAAAACACTTTACGTAGTGTAAATTTTAAGGTACGAGCGCGTAAAATATTATAATCGATCGACGAACGTATATGAATAAAATAGCATTTTCAAATTTTCACAAGTTAAAAAATACACTGTAAAAAAGGGAGTTAAATTTTAACTCCCCAGGGGATTCTATATAAAAGTCGCATTCATTTGGGAGTTAAAATTTACACGGTAAGAATAAGAATCAACTCCAAAAAGGGAGTTAATTTTTAACTCGAAACATTTCACTCCCAACTCCAGTGACCGTCAACTCCCTAAATTTTTTACAGTGTATAAAGCAATAAAAAAAAAGTTAATTATTTTTTATTTTTCAAAATTTGATAAGCTAAGGACAGGGTTGCCACAGGTCAGGGATGTCAGGGAATTCAGGGGAAAGTGAGGGAAATTAGAATTGGTCAGGGAAAATTCAGGGATTTTTATTAAACTGGGAAAAATTACACTGTAAAAAAAGGGAGTTAAATTTTAACTCCCCCGGGGGATCTATAAAAGTCGCACCCATTAGGGAGTTAATGCCAGGGGAGTTAAATAAAGAGAGTTAAAATTTCACACCCAAATGCTAACTCCCCAAAGGAAAAAATAACTCGCGCGGGTGTTGAATGAAGGGAGTTAGAAATTAACTCTCTTTTAGAGTTGATATTTAACTCGAAAAATTTCACTCCCAACTCCCGAGTCCGTTAACTCCCTAAATTTTTTACAGTGTAAATTTTTAGAATTTATAAGAAAATTCTAAATTTTTGTGTTTTCTGTTTGTCTCAGAAACTATGAAATTGACAAGCATTGTAATACAAACCCTTCAATTTTTTCTATTTATAACAATAATTTTTTTTAAATAACTTAATTCTTGGAGAACTATCATAAAATTATTACTTAGAAATTATT